CTCTGTGTGTGTGTGTGTGTAGATAATAGATATCTTTGTATTATCTTTGTATTATCAATTGCCAACACCACCATTACACTACTACTACTACTGCTACTACTACTACTACTACTCTGTTGCCAGTGCTGCTGCTGGTGCTACTAGTATTACTGTACTGGTGGTAGAACTGCTGCTGCTCCACCCCGTTTCCACAACTACTACTGCTGTTTCCGAGTCGTGCCGAAGTGCTCGATCAAAGTGGGCAATAACTCTTTCACTTGGACAGCAGACCTCACAAGTTTTCCCAAGTGCGAACCCAGTACTGCTGCTGGTGCTGCTAGTATTACTGTACTGGTGGTAGAACTGCTGCTGCTCCACCCCGTTTCCACTACTACTACTGCTGTTTCCGAGTCGCGCCGAAGTGCTCGATCAACAGATCTTGGACGGTGGGCAATAACTCCTTCACTCGGACAGCAGACCTCACAAGTTTTCCCAAATGCGAACCTGTTCCAACCCCTCCACCAATAAAGATATCAACCGCATCGCATGGTTTACCATTCTCATCCTTTACGCCTCCACACCCCATGAATCCAATATCTGCCACCTGTACCTGGCCACATGAGTTGGGACATCCAGTCCAGTGCATTCTCACTGTTTGTGGGAGAGTGGATTGAACAGGTGATGATGGTTGTGGTTGGGCAGACAAACGAAAACAGAAAGAAGGAGAAGAAAACAGAGCAACACTTCAGCAAACCTTGCCAGTTCAACACTGTAAATGTGACAAGTCAACCAAGTAGACCAAAGACCAAAGAGACACACAGTACACTCCAGGGCAAGGTCCCACTTGCCTGGGTACTTCATTCTGGACTGTGCTGACGAAAATCAACGGTACGGTCAGAAGTGGACAACCCATGTTTGTGGAACGTTGCCCAAGGAGATTGCAAAAAAATTCAGACAAAACTGAAGTCCATCTCTCAAACATTTCTCAATCACAAGAGATGAAGATAAAGTCCAAAAAGCATCCTGAGGTTAATTTTAGAGTGTCAGTTCTGACTTGTCATTGAAGTTTTGTGCACACGTGTAATCCCTGATCAACTGGTCAACGACTCTTGCTCTTTTTTGCTTGTTCCAAACATGGCTCGGTGAACTTCAACGATACAGTCTCTCACAAGCCTTTCTTCATTGTCCTCTTCTCCCTCGCTGCGTAGTACCTACGATTCACCGGGCAGTTCTCTATGATACATCTACATGACGATATATAAGTAAAACAGGTCCTCATGGTCCTGGGTCCATACCAATTGCGGAACATCACTCCGGTTGCTTTCCCCCGGAAAGACGAATGAAAATACAACAATAAACGCACTCCACACTTTTCCTTCCTCCGGAGCTCCTCTCAGCAGCAGTGGTTGGGCTATGATTGCATATCGCAAGAGCCATAAATAAAGGGATGTTCCAGGCCTTGATCCAGGGACGACGCGCCTGCCCCTGGCCCAGGAGCGTCACGCCCACCCCCGCACCCACTCCTGACCCCTGGCCCCGGGGGTCCCTTATCCCTGCGCCCACTCCCGACCCACGGCCCCGGGGGTCCCTGACCCCCGTGCCCACCCCCACACCTGCCACGAACCCTGCGCCCACCCCCGGCCCCGCCCCCTCCCCCGCCCCTGCACCCGGCCGTCCCCACCGCCGCCCCGAGTCGGTGGCGCCCCCGCCCCCGCCCCCATGCCGAGGGCCACCCCACTCTCACCAGCGGCGGGTGTGCCCCGGGGGAAGGCGGTCCCAGGTGGGGTAAAAATGCAAGTGTGGCTTTTTCGGCCACTGGGTGCAGGCTGTCACTGCGTATCCCCCACCACTGGTTGATTCTCCCTAGCGAACAGACATAAGCAAGGCTCATCACAAGCAGAAAAAAACAACCACACATATCCACATAGACTATGATATCACATTAGCTAACATAACAACCAGCATACTCAATAACTAACAGTAGGGGTAGTTGTTAGACGACGGTCGAGGTCTCCACCATTACCCCTGGTTGATTCTCCCTAGCGAACAGACATAAGCAAGGCTCATCACAAGCAGAAAAAAACAACCACACATATCCACATAGACTATGATATCACATT